AAAAATGACGAGAACCGGGGGGGGAATTAATTCGTAATTGTCGGATAAATAAGACTGATAATTTTGCGGCGATTAAATTATTAGCTGTTATCAAATCGTTAAACAATATTGGTTTTCTATTCAATACTTATCTCTGGAAATTATTAGGAAATGCTTATTAATTTTATTATTACAACTTATATAATATTTTGTATACTCAAAGTTTTTCATCAAAACTTTTTAATCCTACGTTAGCACAGTTTTTCCTACTCGAAGATCTTTAAAGTTAATATTTTCTCGGCAAAAATTAATCCGGTCTTATCATCCGTGACCTTTCACCTTACAGTATTACATGTACGCGTTCTTGAAGTTTGAAGTGGATTTCTCGTAAAGTAGAGTTTATTTCGTTTTTACTTTACGATTGCCGATTACACGTGTAAAAATAAGTATAAATAAATAATAATATATATAATTATAATATCATGTATATATAATTGATATTATACATAAATTTATAATACACTATATAAATATTCGACATGGATATTTATCGTACAAAATATTTTCTTGCATCATTTTGTTGATGTGCTTTAAATTGCAATTTCAAAACGGCTTCTTATCAGCCAAAAACTGCAACCGCAGTCGCGCAGTATCGCGCATATCTATCTTTCGACTTTTTCTCGTTTTACACGGACGTTACAACACCGCGACGGTGTTCAGTCATACATTCGGTAGTGACCATTATTCTTTTGCCTTTGTACGTGTATGCGTGACGCATACTGGAAACAAAACATTGAGCTAGAGGCTTTGTCGACGCGTGCTGATCTCCATTGTTGGAAGACCGAATTGCAGAACTGACTACATAGTACTCTCTGCTATGTAGACCCTTTTGAGTCGAGAGTCTGACCGCGTTACGAATTCATGCTTGTACTTGTCCACCGCATTGCAGCGCGGATAGCGGCTTCCTTCCTGTCTGAATTATCCAACGTTGACGTTGGAAGGCAATTAGAATTTAATTGGCGAGCGATGGTAATCCCAAGAATGCTTAACGAACATTCCTGTGTATAAAACATAATGGATTTAAGAACGTTATCGCGTTGAAAGAAAGTAAAAAAGTGAAAAGCTATTTTTGTACAAATATATTTTAAAAAGTCGGTATTCCTTTAATTATACAAACGTCGAAATGTCAATGAAATCCATTGCAAATTGATCAAAAACGCGCTCTCAAATATTTTCCGATTTTTTACAATTATTTTATCGGAGTTTCAAGATTTTTTCATCGATTCAAACGGAAAAAAAGGTTGGATACTTTACTCGTAACGTTAATTTAAATAGCCGCAGCTCAAACGGTGCGCGATATAATCGCAATTTTTATCTTGCTTGTGTTATCAAGCGATAATACATGTTGTTTAGAGTTCGCTGCAGAGAGACTTCGAACGAGTGTCAAGAACGGATCTTGTTACCTTCTACATCGGAGACGTCGTTCTGTTTCTGTTTGTTAATGCGCGTTCAGTTGCTATCTCTTAACGGAAATCTAAATGACCGCGAAATATTCCCGACGTATCGCCTCATCAAATCGCAAGCCGCGTTCATGTATATTCAAATCGCGGTGGATTCGAAAGAGGTCGGAAAAACTCTCCCTTTGCATACTAAACGTCGCGTTATCTCGACGTTGCATATACGTTGTCGATGCGAGAGGAGCGCAACGACTCTGGCGTAGCGCACGTAGAACAGGCGTGTAACACGCATAGCTTCCTTGCTAGCGTAATTGTCTCGCGTGTTACGGAGTTGCCGCATCTCATTATCAATGTTAGGTGCGTTTTCGTCGGTGCTGCATAATTGATCTTTAGTGCTTTCGTATGTTTTTCTCGAACAAGCCAGCGAGAATCTTTTTATTAATTACAAAATCGTTAAAGACCAATCGTTTTTGTAAAACATTAATCACCGCACCTCGTTCGTTTACAAAAAGTTTGCATTTAAAAAGTTGCTAAAATAAGCTGCTCGAAGAGGGATTAAAGTTTCTGTTAATAGTGATGTAAAAGCAAAGGTAGTTAAAAATAATACCATGGTTTTTTACCATGAGACACTTTTAGGTTTGAAAATAATTTTGTTACAAGATACAATCTATTATTAGTTATTTATTGTGTTTATGAAAAATTTGTTGCACGATATTAAACAACACTGAACAATGAAATTAAATAAAGAACGAGATGTTATTTGATTTTAATTTTCAAACATTTCAATTTTAAATTATGAAAAATTTGAAAACAATTGATGTCTCAGCGTACAAAGATATTCGTTTTAAAGAGTTCTTTTTCAAAGAATCTATCTCTAAAATATCACTCTCGATGACTAAGTCTCCGCGTGCGTTAGTGCATCGAATTTTAGCTTCCCAAAATAACTGGTGAAATATGTTATTTCAGGGGTATCTGGCAAGGACGTAAGCGGGTGGCCAAAGATTCCGTGCTTGAAGGGTCGTGCGTCCGGCAAAGGCGGGAGCGGCGCGGGAGGGCCGCACGTAGGACCGCCTCAGTGTCCGCACTCCGTTTTGAGCAGCACTCGTAGCTCGGTGAGCAGCTCGCCTTTGAGCCCGTGTCCGACGCCTATGCCGTTCCTGGTGACTTCGGGCTCTGTCAGGTAAGAGTAATTAAACGCGACTCACCCTCTAATATACGTCACCCTACGTCACCCTTAGCATGACGTACCTAATATCGCGGGCTCGATTTATGAACACTAAACTCGGCAAACTGTGGGGGCGAATTTCAGACTGTTATAATGAAAGATATAAATTTTCACTATACCGAACGTAAAAGTAGAACACTCACCTATAAATCATTTCGCAACGATTTGTTTTTGGCAATAGCGTGTGTCGCTTTTATTGCATTTTTTTTTAAATAACATATTTAATTTATCTTCTGTCGTTTACTAAAATTAAGGTCTCGCACACGATTTGTCTGAAATTAAGTAAATTTAAATAACTGATATTTTTCATCGAACATCAAAGATATACTTATTGCAAGAACGAATTAACAATGTCAAAGGCTCTTTGCAACGATGTGATTTCGCGGAACATTGTAAAGTTTCTTTTTTGACATAAAAACGACGTTCACGTAAAGGCCGCGTTTACTAAAAATAGTTCTTGTACATATTTTATCGGGCACTATATCCAGTCGAGGGGACAAACATAGCTCGGTCGCAGAAACCGTGCAAAGTTTATAGCCGACGATAGCTGACAACGTATATTTTAATTCGTCTAATCTGATGCAATTTCCCGATATACGTCAGTCATTATTCTTCGATGTTCGTCTTTAAAATTCTGATCGACGAAGCAGGTTTTACCTCTCCTAACAATTATTAAAGCTCTTGGAAGACATTTGAATAAAATCAATATTTTACGTTCTGCCGCATATTGTTGCTTGATAATCAATTCGTCTGCACTTAAGATGTGCGTTTAAAAAAGTATTTATAATATTTGAATGCATTTACTTGAGGTTAAATATGCTATTTGAAGATATTGGAAATATATTTAACTGCTTTTGGAAATCAGTAAATATTGCCAGCGATATTCTTGGAGCAATGATCGATGATTGCGCGATGATCAAGCAAGATACAATGAAATTATTTTATTGATTTTATTGATGCACTCGCTTTTTATTGCTACGATCTAATAACAATTCACGTCTTGAAAAGTGGAAAAAGCTTCAGATATGTTTGACGTAACATTGCGCATAACATCGTGTTAAATGCATAATTGCAATTATACTAATTATGGACACTTTTTGCAATAAATTGATAGAAGCATTTATCGGTTCATTAAAAGTCCTTCCGCTCATTATCGGCAACTTCGACGCCGCGCACAATCATTAGCGAGCTGTTAACTTTTAATTGCGATCTTTTGCGCTTGCTGTAACAATTAGAGTCATTTTCTCTAGAATCGTAATGATCCTCATTAATAAAGTGCGAGGAACTTTTAGAATCTATTGTCAAAATTCTATGTAAGACTCATATTACGTTCTTGTACTTGCAAATTTTAATATACGCATGAAGTTAAATATTGACGCAATAACTTTCGGGCTTACGTAAAATGTATGAATTTATCGCGATGTATACAAGTTTCCTTGGTTTCTATCCTCATTTTTTTTACACGAATGATATATTTTACTTGCTGCTCTCAAGGTTAAACAGGAAAAATAGCAATATAAAGTAGCAAGATAAATATGCCACTGTACAATGCGTTGGACCCACTCGTAAATTGGAACGAACATATTACCGTAGATAAATGGAACAAGAAACGCGGTCTGCCTTTTTTACAATATATATGAAGCGCCATTACCCGCATAGTTTAAGGGACAGAGTTGTTTTGCTCGGCTCGGAGTTAGCTTGCTCACGGCGATGTTCCTTTTGCGCACCAAGTTTCACATATTTCCTACCTAAAGCTCGTTAAAAAATTTTTACATATTGCCTCGTAAATGTTAGGTATATCTATTCATAAGTAGATAGAAATATTTCTTCTTGCCGCAATAGTAATGGCTGGCATTTTTCGAAATTGAGTTTCTTCCTTGGAATCACTTTTTTTTTGCTTTTTGATAGAAGTTTTCCTGCGAGATAAGAAACTCTCCCATCGGATACCTTTGCTTTTTTCCCGAAAAGTTTGCGAATTCGACGGACGTGTGCGGAATTGCAAGTTTGCCGGGTATAACTCCGACATCCTGACGTGCTCGATCAGGTCGGAATGAATAATTCATGGCGTTTCTCAAAGCAGCCGGCCCCTGCTGCAATATCGATAACCATCCACTTTGACCAACTATTTCCCGTCCCATCGCGTTTCAGGCCGATAATCGTTTCGCGAATTTCTGCGGCACGGAAGTAAGTCGTGCCGAAATCCGTCTCGGATAAGCGGACTCGTTTTATCAATTAAGCGCCGTACAAAACGTTGATAAATGTTCTTATTTTGCTTATATAATTTTCTTAATTTTTAACACTTTTTTTAAATTCACCAAATTTATTTAATATTTATTTTTTAATAAAAATATCCAAGTGTGAATTCTTATTTATAAGCAGTTAGATGTAAACATTCACAGATTTTAAAAATTACATGTTTAATTTTACAATAATAGGATATTGCGGATTAAAAGGAAACGAAAATTGTTGAGAGGCGAAAATTACAAAGAAGAATAGAACGGAAATAGACGAGGCGTTTAAGCCTTTACAGTTTAACATGTATAATTTATTCGTTATTTGATCGTTAACAAATAATCTATCATTCCGCGCATTTCACGTTTTAATCACGTTTAGGGAAAATTTTCTGAAAAGAAATTACGTCGCATGTAGCTCTTCGCTCGCGCTCGCGGTTTAAGCCTTAAAATAGTCGCGACTTTTGTAGAGCGTGGGACAAGAGCGAGACGCATCAGCGAAGGGCACAGATGCCTCGCGTGTAGAGGCAAATTGAATGCGTAGGCGTGTCTATAGCTCATACCTATCGACGTTATCGACCAACTCTTTGCTCCGCTCTCTCAAATCCAGGAGGCTTTTCGTCGCTTGACGAATGGTTAACGAGCGAGTGGGAGAGACAGAAGGTGGGAGAGATGAGTCTTGTGTGAAGGCCATATATCTGTTTGTAAGCCGTAACACGTGCGCGACTTTTCAAACGTCAGATTTTTCTACGCACTCAAATCTCTCGAAAAGAGCAGATTTGTACTCGTATTTCTTTATGGATAAATCGTGGATGAAATCTATGGCTCTTTTTTTTTCTGTTAACGACAAGTTATTTCATATGTAAAGGATAGCGAGTCGGAGTCTGCTTTTAGCAAAATAGGAGTCTTTTTCTATTGGAAATGTGATCAAAGTCGAGTTCGACAATACGATTCGCTGTGCGCTAATGCAAGAGAGATTATGTCTTGCGTGCAGCATTAATCATTTCTTCGCAACAACCCGGTAGAGCCTTGCTCGAGGCAACAGAGTGTAAAGTTCTTAAGAACAGTTAGAAAAAGAACGGATCTGATGTGTCACTATGCAATCATTAAGCATATTCAAGACTGATACACTCGAGCAGATTGTAGCAAATGCGAAACTACGTAGTGCTGATATCGAACTCTTTCCTACGCTACGACATTTAATGGCGGTGGAATTTTTTTCTGCAATCACTCACAATTTACATAAACAAATGTATCTTCTCAAATCTGTCGCATCATTTTCTCATATGTCACAAGAACAATAATAACGGAGAGTTATTTAACTTATCGCGGTGAGTTTTAATGAATTTCGAAGAGCTTAGAAAAGATCTGAGGGATTAGTTTGTCCCGGAATAGTTGTTTTACTTCCCAAAATCCCCTCGCATTTCCACAAAGTTTCTAAAGTTTGAGTTTGGGGGGTTGCCGAACGGGTCGCCGAACTTCCCTTGTTAGGCCACTCTTTGTCCAAACGCGCTCCAGCAATGCATGATTCATTCGCGTTCTGCGAAAGGTAACAACGGCGTTGACTCGCGCCGAAAGAGACAATCCTAGGGAATTTAAGGATTAAGATAATAGTCAGCGTGTATGTTCTGCGGACGGCCTAATTGGCAATTAAACGATGTTCCAGTAGCGGCATGGTGCAAAGCGTCGGGGCCAACTTATCGCCGGACCAAACATTCGGATCGATCCGGTCGCTTTCGGTGACGAGGGAAGTCGCCAGCTTTCCCTTGTCGCGAACACCTACGCCGCCTCCGCAGCACAGGTAGGTGAATGCTTATTTGCCTGAATCGATGATGCGCCGATAAATATCGGCAATTGACACGCTTCGTAAAATGAATGGAATGCAAAAGAAATGGAAGTGCAGTTAAATTGGAATCGGTGGGTGGAAATTATTTACAGAGTGAGGCGATAAAGAAATACGGAATTGATCAGTTCCGGCAAAATTTTGGCAGCACTTTATTCGCTCATTAACGCTAAATGTGTGTGGCGTGCTATTCTATAAAATGCATGAGTTTTCTACCGAAGTCTTTTAATCTTCAGTCCGTAAGATTATGTTAGACGCTCTTATTTCGTGCTCTTTTATAAAACTTAATTAATACTTACAAGAAGAAGAATTATGCCAGCAAAGTATCTTACAGTTAATTGAGAAGTGAGTGATCTCCCAAAAGTTTTTCATTTATTACAAGATAACAAATAATTCAGAAGATTAAGTTTTCCGCTTTACATGAGAATACGCAAAGCTCTT